CGGAATAAAATAAAGATATTTTATTTTAATGGCGCTGAAGCTGTTGCTTTGTTCACACCAAAAGCACAAAAAAGCAGTGGTAAGCGTGTAAAGGAGCTAGCGGGTAGCGATGTGGCGTGGCATACGCAATGCTGAGGACAACGGGCGAAATTGTGTGTGAAGTGTGATGGGTATGGCAGCGTGTAGAAGTGTGGCAAACAGGCACATAATTTTCGGGTTAGGGTGGGCGCACAAACACACAGACACAGCAAGGTCGTGTACAAGCATTGCTATTTGGCCGAGCAGATCTGTCCAAAAATACGCCTCCTACCAACAACTAACGGGAGCTCTTGTGCAGCAGACCGCTAGAGGTAGCGTGATCGATGAGGCGGGGTGTTGAAGGAGTGCCGCAATATGCATACGTATCTATCAAGGCGCTGCAAAACAAAGCGCAAAAATGTAATAAGCATCAACTGTCCATTTGTGGACAAAAATATACGTTTATTATATAAATTATCAAGCTCTTAATGTGGCATTAGCAGGCGGAAGAGAATGGGAGTGTAGTGTGCACGTAACTGTTATTGTTGTAGTGTAGTGTAGCTGTGTGTAGTTGTGCTACTATGAATGCCAATACTAACAAAAGCAACAACAACAACCATCACTAGCCACACCACTACCAATACCGTTACGCACTTGCGACCATATGCGCCTTTTCGACTATGCTCAGCTACTACAACTACACTGACACTACTACATATACAACTTTAACTACTTCTACTACTACTATTACTACTACTATTATAACTAAAACTACAACAACAACAACTATGACTACAACTACTACCACCACTGTATACAACAAAATGCATGAATGTGCCTACACATATACATACATACATATATATATAATACAAACTAACAACGACCTATCGAGGACAACTGCCATTATGTAGTGCGAGTACGTTACAATAACGGTTTATCGTAGTACTCATCTGCGAAAGTGGCGATGCTGCTGTATTCAAACAATATGGCCAAGTTTTTGACGATATGAACGACCTGAAGGATGGATGGACAATTGAAAACACACACATGCACTCACACATACATATGGAAGTATATGCATGATATACATATATTCAACTTTGCGTGAATTTGTGTGCGCTTGTGGCCTTTACAAGTCCAGCATAATGACAGTTATAAATTTTTTCCCGCTTCCGCACACACACACACAAGCATACATAGCTTAATTTGTTATATATACATACACACACTTATATATGTACATATATCTAGCGTGTAGTAAAAAAATCCAAAGTTTCTCGCTTTTCGATAACTTTTCATGCGGTTTTAGTTTCTTCGCCCATTTTTGTCGTCGCCTTTACTTCGTATTGTCTTTGTTGCTGCCACTACTCTGCCTTGCTTTATTGACTGGCATCTTCAGTGGTGGTTTCAGCTTTGCCAACCATTTGCTCTGACTTTTTTCCAACGGCCTCAAAGTGCCAAAGTAAAAAAGTTCGATTGCACCTGAAATATTTTCGACTGTGGCCGTTTTATGGTCCCGCAAACTGAAGTAATATGGCATTGTTTTTGTTTTTCGTAAGTAATTTCTATTAAATCTCTTCGTCTATTATTATCCATTGCCAGCAACTTTTCTTGAATTATCATTTTTGTGTTGATGCATTTTGAATATATTTACCACTTTACCGTAAATTTAGTTCACATTTTGTGCTTGCGCTTCTTCAATTGTTTTGCTTCCGCTTTGAACGTTTTATGCGCACACACAAACATACATACATACAAATAAACCTTCGTACTTATCTATGCGCTGCTCCCTCCTTCGAGAGTGTCCTTCGTGGTGCAATGCACATTAACTTGCTGTTGCAACAACAACAGTAACAACAACAACACGTTTGAGCACAATGATAGTTACAACAATCATATGAATATGATATAAAAAGTTGTATATTATAAGCTATTGCTGTTTTTGTTGTTGTTTGTGTTTCAATTAAAACTTAAATTTCCCCAAGCAACTGAATGGAAATTGTGTGTGCGCCAGCATAGCGTAAGCGAGGTACTCAAGGTGGTCACCTCGGCTTTCGGTTTGTTGAGTTTGGTACCGTTGGTTTTTGGTATTGTTATTGGCTGCAACTTGCCATGCCATTTGGGATATGCTTTGTGCAAAATATTCTTATGAAAATAGATTTAAAGGTTTTCGTTTTATAACATCTTGCAGTTGTTTTTTTATTTATTTATTTATTTTTTTTTTGGTTGCGTTTGCATTGTGTGATTCTTCGGTAATTTACTTCCGGGATTTAATTTGAAGAAATGTGTATATGTGGTGGTGTAGTTCGTTGTTTTTTTGGTTTCAATATTATTTCTTATATTGCTATATGTTTGGGTTGGGACGGTAAAGCGAGTACTACTCACAAAATCTGCTCTTTGGTTCAACTCAAATTGTTAGGAATTTTGACAAGGTAATAGTAATCTCACAGGGATATTTATACTTATTCCTGCCATAAGTTCTGTTACAAGTTTAGCTTGTTATAAAAATATAAATGAAGCAAATATTTGGTTGTGCATATATTAAATGAGCGATGTACAGAATGTTATTTAAAATTGTCACACTTTGCTTTCACACAACCTTTAACGATTCGGCCATTGATCAATAGCGGCGCGCATAGTTTCTATTGGTATTGATGAACAACGATTTTTTGAGACTCTTCAAATTTCTATGAGGTATTCGACAGGCCAATGTTCTACAATTCTGACCAGAAACTTGTTATAATCCAATGAATTCAACTCTGTACTTCAGCACCAATGAAACCAGGAATTTTGCTTCTAAGCCACTACTGGGTGGTTTTTGTGTGCTGGCGCCGAATCTTGCTGGAAGATCCAATGCTTTTCATTCAAGAAAGTATTGTCCACGTCTTCTAAAACGTCTTGCTGGTGCACTTTCGAACGTGTTTTAAGCCATTTTTCACAGAACTGAAGAGGAGGAATGCCTTTACAATAAACTCCACATCAAACCATCACTTAATGGTAACCACGTGTAACCCTTGGAATAACATTTTGAAAGTGATACGTATATTTCTCTCTTGAAAAGAAACAGTGGTAAAAAAAAGCGAAGAGAACGTCGTGTAAGTTTATAGTATATTCGCTAAGATTATGTCTGAGTAATTAAATACTCGTACCTTACGCCGCTTATTTGGGTACTATGGCGAACCTTAGCACCAGGATAAAGAAACATGAGCACACAAGAGTGCATTGCAAGAACACTGTGCGCATTTTTTGGTCTTAGCATCAAATACGATATTTTTTTATTCACTTAGATTAGGTTATACTGGCTTATTGTCATGCCATACACTACCATACACAGACCGACGAGTTCTTTGTAATGCCAGATGAAGGTTCAGTTTAATTCGAGGCAAAAGTTACAACATACCTTATATGAAGTTGAAGTGAGACTTGATATATAATTTTGATATTTCATCTAGTCACTTGAACTGCGAAGCTCCTTAATATCTGAGATGAGTACTAAATAAGCCTTATTCCTTCGATCTTTTCGATCCTGCACGTCCTTAAGGCATTCCATTTCACACTAATCCGTTATCAGCTCTTTCGAAAATTTCATTGTGTATCGTTTTTAGCGACTTGCATATTTCCTGTACTGGTTCGTTAGCCAAGAGAATAACATCTTTGGCAATCTCATCATGCAGTCGTTTTTTGGCAGCCACTATATCTAC